AACTTGTACGTTTCTGGTTAAATATATATATATATATATAATCATAAATAATTCTCACTATATAAGTCACACGTGCTCCTAATGCACTTATCCCTATAACTTTATTTACTCTTAGGTACTTGAATGTACAAAATGACCCCAGCCGGCCTGAAGAATGTTGGTGTTAGGAGAAAGCCCTTAGATTGCACTGGATATAGTGTTTGTTGACAAATTATTATACATATACTTTCGTTCAGAAATTTTAGTTAATAATTCAATGAAAATTGCAAAAGAAATCTTACCATCCAAGGCCATTTTTCCGGTTGAGCCAACTGTACACTTTCTGGTAAAGTATTATTATTCGGAGTACTACCAGTAGAGTTTTCATTTAGGTTTGTGTCATTTTTCTCTAGATTTGTAACAGGTTCTTCAAGGGTACTGATGGTGGTGGTCTGATGGTTACTATAACCGCATTCTGAAGTATTAGGAAATTAGTTAGTTAGGTTCTCCGAGTAACCAATATATTTTAAAACAAAATTTTGAAATGTGAAAGAAGAACTAATTAACTTGATGCCGGCAAAATGAGAGAAACGAAACCAATCCGCAAAAAAAAAAAAAAAAAAACTAACAACAAGAAAACAAACAAGAAACGCTATTGCAATACGAATGAAATATAATGAAAAACTGTTTAAACTGAATTGGTTGATATGCTATCCAAGTAAAACTGAATTAAACATGAATTTAAAATGAAATAAAATCACAGTACAAAACTGCAGCAAAAGACTGCAAACACACACACAGACACAAAAATGCCCAAGTCGGTCTTGTTTCTCTCAAAGGTGAAAGGACTCCTTTTGAAAGCGTCAAAACCGCTCTCACTATTCGCATTCTCTCTAAAGCCGGAATATCTCAAGTAGAATTCCCGGAATTCGGTGATATCCCCACCTCGTGTAACAGCCAGAAACTAGCCTCACAGAAAGGGCTAGTGACACAGCTGCCTCGTGTGATAAGAGAAACTACCTTTGATAGACTCCTGTTTTAGAGGCTAACATTTACAACAAAATTCAACACGTTACTTAGAACAAATTTCTTGGCTTTCTAAAAGTTATTTAACAGCTAGCTAGCGTATATATTTGGTTTCTGTTAACTTGAAAAGTTGTGTTATTGCTTTTGTTACTTAACGTGAGCTTTAATCTTTCATATTATAAGTGTTTATAGTCAGAATGAGACCTAAAGATGGGTGTGTATCTGTTGCGAAATTGTAAAGCACTTAAAAATGCCGTATTTTAGAAGTGTTGCTATTGTTATTTATGTTGTTGATGTAAGACTGAAATATTGGTTAAGATTGTGCATTTATTCACAGTCATGTCCTATAACGCAGGCTGGAGTTATATTACTTTGATAATTCGACAACAACATATCGGTATTTAATCTTCAGTAATCTTAAAAACCTGTAAAGACATCAAAACTCCGCAAAATAACATCTTATCACACAAATGCCACGTCAGAGACTCCTATGATAGCCGTCTCTAATTTTCAGCTGCAGATTAGAAAGAAGACAATCAGTCGGCAACGCTTACTGCCTGAAATGGCTACTGTTAACCGAAAAGAAGAATTAGTTGTATTTTACAACGCGAACTTGAGTCCACCGGATCCTCAACCCAATTTGCCGATCATTAGTTCACGTTTGAACTACACTACAAGCATTAGATTAACTAAATTCAGAAGGTGATAACTCCATCTATTAACAGTGATATTTAAATCTTTCTGAATTATGTTTCCACAAAATAATCAGAAGAATAACAGCTTCCGACTAATCATGACTAAAAAAGGAAAATTACCTGGGACGTTTGACGATGAGCAACATACCACAGGAATAAAACCTTCATATCCACATGAGGCATTTTGAACAATCGCCGGATTTGACTTGAAGAGCAGCTCGGGGCACATCAGTATGTCCCGACAGGTTCCGTGTCCGCTAAAAGACTGGGTACACGGACGACCAAAAAGCGGATGCTCGTAGGGAAAGACAACTGAAAAAAAAGATTCGTTTAAATACGTGTTAATTTGTTTCTTATTCTGAGTTTTATATATTTTAAATCGTATTTTCCATTCCTAAACAATTATTTAGTTAATAGCTCATTTATATAGATACATACGCCAATTTATTTTGTTTGTTTGTAATTAAGTACAAAGCTACACAATGGGCTATCTGTGCTCTGACAACCACGGGTATCGAAACCCGTATTCTAGCGTTGGAAGTCCGCAGACATACCGCTGTGCCACTGGGGGACTAATTTATTTTGTACATTTTGATTTGTTTTTCTTTAAAATATGTATTAATGATTGTCTTATTGATTCAATTATTTCATACATATCGAATGTTCTTGATGATACATTAACACCAATGATAATATAATTACACGTACCTAGTCTCTCAAATTCGCCCCCCCCCAAGTGGCACAGCAAAATGTCCGCGGACTTACAACGCTAGAAACCGGGTTTCGATACTTATGGGGGACAAACAGAGATAGTTTATTGTGTAGTTGAGAGCTTGACTTCAACCAACCAACTCTCAAATTTACTTTCATCTCTCAGATTTCATTTACAAATTATTTTTTAATGCAGTAAAATATGCTGACAAATACATATATAATTAGAAAACCAGTTATCAGAGGATAATACCATTGATAAACATACGTATCTTGTACAGAGAATTAAAGAATTTTGGCGTGTTTGATCCTATTCAAAACGTAATAATTTAAACGATAAAACGAGATCCTCAGTTAAATAACCAAAACAGTTGATTAAAAATTATTTCGAAAAACCTAGTCTATTATTATACTTTACACTACAGAGTATATTATTTTACTTTATGGATTGTACTTTACACTAAAGAGTATATTATTTTACTTTATGGATTGTACTTTACACTAAAGAGTATATTATTTTACTTTATGGATTTCACTTTATACTACAGAGTATATTATTTTACTTTAT